GACATCCATGTTAACAGAACACCAATGTCATGCTGACATCCATGTTAACAGAACACCAATGTCATGCTGACATCCATGTTAACAGAACACCAATGTCATGCTGACATCCATGTTAAACAGAACACCAATGTCATGCTGACATCCATGTTAACAGAACACCAATGTCATGTGACATCCATGTTAAACAGAACACCAATGTCATGCTGACATCCATGTTAACAGAACACCAATGTCATGCTGACATCCATGTTAAACAGAACACCAATGTCATGCTGACATCCATGTTAAACAGAACACCAATGTCATGCTGACATCCATGTTAACAGAACACCAATGTCATGCTGACATCCATGTTAACAGAACACCAATGTCATGCTGACATCCATGTTAAACAGAACACCAATGTCATGCTGACATCCATGTTAACAGAACACCAATGTCATGCTGACATCCATGTTAACAGAACACCAATGTCATGCTGACATCCATGTTAACAGAACACCAATGTCATGCTGACATCCATGTTAACAGAACACCAATGTCATGCTGACATCCATGTTAACAGAACACCAATGTCATGCTTGATAAATTAATGAGTAATTGTGTGTAATAAAACTTTTCAATAACACCAAAGACAATATCTAAAATACAATTTTAAAACCATAAAGTAAATGTCACGACAAAATGTAACTTCACCAACATTTTGTCTTTTTTGATAGATAAAAAAAATGTGCTTAATATTAGAAAATACTGAACAAAAATTGTTTAAAAAGAATTTTTGAGGACATACATGTAAAAATGAAATCCTGTGTTCAGTTCCATGATCTGAAGAGATTATTATAATTGGTCAAAATACGGACGAAAAACTACCACTATTAAACCAAAACAGTAAACAAAATGTACATAACCTAAAAGTGGCTTGATGAAATTGGACGGCACCAAAGTCACTGGTTTCGAACAATGGGCCACATCCTTAAAATAAATATTAGTATGCATATTAGTAAAGTGTGTAAGCTGAGGTAGTGTACTCTGTGTGTAGGAAAATAAAGGTAAATGTGAAAAGAACTTTCACAGAGGTAGTTTGTACATAACAGTCAGTGTTTGATTTTGTTGTGCTCGTTCAGATTGCTTGGGTACATGGAAGCAAAGTCGCACTTTCCACATTTATACTTTCTCTCAATATGCATGATTTGCATATGACAGCATAGACTCCAACGACTCTGGAATACTTTAGCGCAGTGGCCACATTTAAACACATCACCTGATTCAAGTGAAGTTTCATCATCATTTGATTTCAAAGGTACAACTGGTGTCACTTTTACCACTGGTAAGACGGCATTTCTCAACTTTGTTTTGATGCTAGAGGAAGCTTCACGCGAGTCTTTTAGTGGCTGACTTCTTATTGGTGACTGCGTTGAAGTTTTTAGTGAAGCCTTGTAAATTCTTGATGGCTGGTTTGTAGATTCACATTTGAACTTTTGTTTTGGTGGTTTTAGCATTTTGGTGCCTTTAATATTTTTAAGAGAATATTCTTGATCATTACTCGTATAGGAGGAAGATGCAATGCTGGGATCTTCTGTGTCACCACGGTGACTGTTTAACTTATGTCTATATAAGGCACCTCTGCCAGAAAATGTCTGGTAACAAAATTTGCATTTTATCATCTTTTTCTGCAGTTTGGAGTTATTATCTCTGCTGAAGCTACTTTTACTCATTTTTCTATCTTTTGGTGATCTCCGGATTTCAGAAGAATCATGGCGTTTTTTGTCAAATATCTGCGTCGCTTTCCCATTTCCATTCACGTGTTTTGATGCATCTTTTTTTTTATACATGTACGATTCCCCGTCTGTCTTTGGTTGCATTCTAGCTTTTGAAATCTCTTTTGATTTACAGAGTGATGCTTCCCCAATGTGTCCATCTTTCAGGTGCTTGATATAGCTTCCTGGATTGCAGTACTTTCTAATACATTTGTCACACTGGAACCATTTCTTAGTAGCATGTGAGCGCATATGAATACCCAAATGCCTCATAGAGGCAAAGGTTCTTGGGCATCTGTCACAAGATATCGCTTTACCAGGCGGTAATTTCCTGTTTGTTTGTTTGCACGTTGAATGTTTCCTCCTAATCCTGCTTGTATCAACACATTTTATTTCATGTTTATTCCATTCTTTTTTCTTCATGCATCGTTTAACTATTGACTGTTTATCAGCAGTACTTCCTCTTTTAATAATTGCTCTGCAGATTTCAGGGTGCTTGAATTTATTATGAAGAACAAGACCATTTTTCGATAACAACACTTTAGTACAAAACTTGCACGGGAATTGTTGCTGTTTGTGTGGAAAGTTAATGCTGCTATTTGAATGTTTAGCATTTATGTGCCTAACTAGATTACATTTATTAAAGAACTTTCTATCACAGTGAGAACATGTTAAAGTACGTTCATGGACTTCGCCAGTTCTACCTCTGGTGTGTACACGTGGAGCTAATACTACGGAGCTGATGTCAGATGGCTCTCTTTTTCCATATGCTGGGCTTGGGTTCCTGCCTGGGGTGAATTTCAAGGCATCTGTTGTTTTGGTCTTTAGTAGATGCGGTGATATCTTTAACTTACTTGCACTTTCACTATTAGAGAAATCATTATCATCATACGTGCACTCAGATTTCAGACTAGTAACAGAAGTGTTCAGTGCATGCTTCGAGTTATTATTCAAATCATTTTGCTTCTGCTTCATATTATCTTCTTCGTAGTTGGTGCCAACAGTTTCATTGAATTGTGACTGTCCTTGGTTACTGACTTTGTATTCATCATGCCCTTCATTTTGAGTTTTATCATTGACACAGTGGTGTGAATGTAAACTTAATTGATCCAGGAAAATACTGTGACATTGATAACAGTTGTATTTGTCAGGTTCATCTTCTTCACGTTCACAGTGTGTCAGCCATTTGTGCAGTTGAACTTTATGCCTGGTAGAGTATGTGACATCGCACTGATCACATGAAAAAAGGCCGTCTTTCTTTGCATCCATACTTGACATTTAAATGATGGGAAATCTGTAATATAAATAGTGTTGAATGAATGAATGAATTGTGGTGGTGGTGGTGGTGATCGTCGTCGTCGCACATGTGTACTCCATGTTTGTTTGTCTTAAAAATGTGCTACTTTGTTAACAATTCAGCTGACTAAGGTTTTATTAATAAAATAATTATTCTTTCCATTAAATCATGATCATATACACAGTCAGCTGGCATATAAGTGATAATGAAATAAATGCGATTAATATAGTGATATTTACATGTACACTGTACATGTAATATATGGGAGCAGTCATCTTAAATATGGCTTGACACTAAATCAAAAGACAAGTTGAAAAACAACTTTTTCAGTTTCCTACATATCCGGGCAAAAATACCAAACTTTCACAGTAAGTTAACGACTAATAAAATTTGACCGTTTCATTGTTTTTGTGTGACAAATTCCTGCATACAAACATCTCATTACACGAAGAACACTGAACACTCCCAGGGTATTTGAAACGAAAATCGTAACCTAACTCAAGAGTCAATAACCAATGACCTTAAGTTTTATTATGATGTCAGTATTTCTGTTGAAATCCCATGAGAAATGTTTGAACAAATGTATGAATTATACCAAACTAGTATAGGCAAACTAACGGCACAACAGTGTAAATATGTGTAGTCCACATTTTGTGCATGTTTCAGCGGAAAACCTAACTACATGTATGTAAGTTCTGAAAGTAGTTCCGTACCATATTACACACTAATTATATGAAACTTATGAAATGCATATCACCACAGTGTGATGTTGCACTCGTATGACACTCAGAGATTTTTTTAAACAAGGGAACAGGGGCGCAGAGCCCTCATGCCATGCCCATGCGCTCCCTTATCCTGAGGAGCAGATCCTCTGGCAACCATAAAATTCTGATGGGTTTTATTGTAATTTTACATATTCTCGTAGATTCAATTCAGCGAATTTTGCTTACTGTAATATACTTTATTTTAGCTGGCATTAATTTTCACTGAAAAGACTTTTTGGGTGTTTTGTATGGAATTTATATCACTGATTTTGACTGAGTTGAATGTAAAATATAGGAAAAAGGTATATTTGCTGGATTTTATTTTCACTAAATCATTCCTTCCGCAAAAATTAATTCCAAGTGAAAATAAAGTATTTTACAGTATCCGCGAAAATAGCAAAAATAAAACCTAGTGAAAATTAAATCATTTACAGTATCTACTTCCACTGGTATCCATTTTTCTGAATTGCATGTAAAAATTGTAAGCAAAACCAATGTAGAACGGTTTTAATCTAGGCTACAACAGCTGTGTATACGACCCCAAGCATACACACTACGACCTTGATAACTCATGGCCACTTCAGCTATTTTTACGATCGTATAAATTAACTAAAACGAGACAGGAAAACAGTTCCGACCACATTTAACATTTCCAAACAAATCACAACCCCAGACAAATAAGTTAGGAACTATCCTTATCAATTAGGTGTCAAATCCAGTGATGCTTTATCATTATTTGACAGCGTCCTTATTATTGGATCGGTCACAATTGCAGGCGGAAATACCAGTCGTGGAGCATGGCCGATGAGTACGCGTCAGATTTGACTGAGTTTGGCGGGATGTTTGACGCTACTGAATAGTAACTGTTCACACAACAAAATCAGTTAACGAGATTAGGACACGTCGGTAGCTACATAACGTAAATATGAATCACAATATTGATGTTATTTCCTGGTTATACTTACTTCACTCCAGACAGTAAACAAGCACGAACATCACAACCCAAACATGTCAGAAGTTTAAGCTCCGCCCTCGTGTCGTATCGCCCTCAGTGTTGAAACTCTTCAGTTAGCTGACCGCAGGACAGTTCATAGAATACGAACTTATGCAGTTAATGTTGTTTAATGTTTATAATTATGTAATGTTAGTGGTAATGTATTAAAATACACCGCGGAAAACAGTTACCAAAACTGCCTCACAGTCCTGCATTAGACTCGTACCTTGTCACAAGGAACACGCTCTATGAAACAAGGTACGCGTACGCAGTGCACAGTGGGTAATAAAAATGGCAGCACACATAACCGTTTCCGACGAGTTGTGACATAAACAAACATTTATTTTATTCACACCTGCCTGTGATATGGGAATTTCGGCCATACATACCATCAGTATATTTCCATAGAACGCGAGGAATCTTTCATAGAGTTTCAGAACACAGTAGGTCTAATTTAACTCGTTTTGGACAGCGCTGCCAGAATATTCCGTTGGTGTCGGTTAGTAAGTTGCAACCGTAACTCAGGCTCACCGCATTGTATGTGTCTTGACAAAACTTCCACTAACATTTATTAGTTGACCGTTAGATAAAGGATTTTGGATAACGGGTACACATTGCGTTGCTGTTGTATTTGTGTCTGTATGAACTATAGTAATCCAAAATGTCACGACTGAATACTAGACGAAGTTCGGCTTCATTTGTTCTTGAAAGAGCACAGAGTCAACTACTGGGCAAACGAGTGACTGAAAAAAAGGGAGACGATGAGGGCGATCTTGGCGTAAGTAATACGAATAATGATAACATCCGGACTTTGTTTCTTGTCTTCTTTGAATTAATAGGCATCGATTCACATGCTAGGTTATGGATGGCAAATACTTAATCTGTATACATATAGTTTACAAATTGTTTGATTTGTAAAATGTTTAACGTCCATACCTATTGAATATGTTATTGTGGAACTTTCTTTCACTACATTATATGTTCATGTACAAATGTACATGTATATGTTAAAAAAACAAATTCTAATTTTCATACATGTATTTGTTTCAGGCATATTTGAATACCTTAGCTTTACGGACTAGTACACAGAAAGCAACAGTACTGAAAGCTGATGTGGAGATCAGTGACTTATCAATGTCAAGTAATGATGCTATCATGCAACCAACTTACAGTGCAGAGGCCAGTCGATTCCTGAAGAAAAAGAAGACTACAGATACTCCCATAGTAAGAAAAACAAGTCCGACTACAGTCAAAAAAAATACCAGTCGATCAGTGTCTGGTAAAAGTGCAACTTTTGGCAACTCTTCTGCACTGAACAAAGCCGCTGCACTTGGAAAGAAGTTTGATAATAAACAAAAAGTGAAGGGTCACAAAACGCAACATGCACATGTAGGTAAAGAGAATAATGTTGATATTAGTGACGAGGATCATGATATCGGAAAAGGTGGAAGCCGTTTTCTTAAAAAGAAGCCAAAAGTCAATGAGAGATCACCGACTCTTGGTAGAGCTGGGAAAATAAGTCCACAGAGTGCAGCGGAGAGAACTAATTATGGGCGGCCACCACTCACCAGGTCTACCGTGTACCGCAACAGTTTGAGTGACAGTGATGAAGAATTCATGCGTAATTTAAGTCCTATCAGCTCACCTGATATTCCACCAATTAGAGATATTTCCGAACTGGAACCTGCCAAACGAGAACCTGAAAAGAAGAAGGTGAGATTAATATGATATATGTATCACTCCTAAAGGTCACACTTCCTTGTACATTCTGGAGGGGCAAATACTAGCATGGCTACACCTGTCTCTTATGATATCATTCTGTCAATGACCTTTATTTTGACAACATTTTTCTTTAGGTCATCAAAACTGCATACTGTAGAATACTTTATTTCCGCTTGGAATTTATTTTCACTATTTTCGCTGAATGGATGCTTCAGTGAAAATAAAATCCAGCGAATATACTTTTTTCCTATGTCTCACATTCAACTCATCAAAAATCAGTGAAAATAAATTCCATAAAAAACACCAAAAAAGCTTTTTTAGGGAAAATTAATTCCAGCTAATATAAAGTATTTCACAGTATTATTAAAGGATAGTGGGTGTTGCACAGTGTGTGTTTGAATTTCATGTAAACAAACAATGTATTTTACATGTACATTTTACAATCACATGCCCACCAACTTTTAAAAGTGTATAAAAATAATATTGACTTGAGTTCAATTTATTATATTTTAATATTGAGAAACAGCTTTTTATAGTGTGTAGGCTCTCATGTCATCAGTTCTTTGACGTTGGCGACTAACACTGGCATGTGGTATTAGCATTTAATGTGTAATATGTAAGTTTGTGTTTTGAATAATATAATAAATGAATGCAAATCATCAATACATTTAATAATATCACTATAGTGGTGTAAATAGTATTATACGGTAATAGTATTTGAAATTATAGCTGTCACTATAGACTAGTTCTCCAGAAGTACCAGGATGTGCAAGCTTGTGGGTTATGCATATAGGCTAATACAGTGCAGTTATCAAGCTGTACTCAATAGCATCACCTGCATAACAAAGTCCATGAAAACAAATTGAATGACTGACAATAATTGACAAAACAACCCACAAGAAGAAAACAAAACAACTGACAAGTGCACTACACTAGTCAAATCCGAAATGTATATGGACACCATGGCATTTATGGAGTGATGTCAGGTTTTTCATCAGGAGTGAGCACATCCTGCTCTTCTATTTGAAACCTAATGTCTACATCATGCATGTACAAGTGACATTGCTGTCATAAGTTGTCCGTTGTCATGGTTTGTCATTCAATTGATGTTTTCAACTGAAGATTTGTGATAGAATCCCACAACATTTTGATGTGCTTTATCTTTGACAAATTCGGTTGAGATTTATAGCAAAGCAATGTTATCCATGTTTATCTCAGGTTAAGCTGCAGAGAAGTGATTCCAGAGGACGAACACCTAGTCCGATTCTGAGAAGGCGTACGCCAAGCCCTCCACTCAAGCGATGGAGACCAGAGTCCTTCGAGACCGAGTCTATAGGCAGCATTCAAGATGAAACAGATGCAAATGTCAGTGTTCATGATGAAACGATTTCAGAAGAAACTTTTGGAGGTAAGTATGATCCGGGTACATCTAGCATTTATTTTAAGCACAAGTACTTTTCATTAAAACATTGAACTTTTAAAGTTAATATCTGTGACATCAATACATGTAATTCCCACAAATTTCTTGTATGTTAGTAATATGAGACATTCATCTATATAGGCAGATTACATTGGATGCAGAAGTGCTATAGCGTGCGATTGAAATAGAATACCGTCGCTCACACAAACGTTTGTGCAGTGCATAATGTTTTTCGTTGTCACTTTGGCCTGATATATCTCAATAAATTATTACTACAAGCATGTACATGTACCCTACATGTATAAGTCTGGAGGTGTGTGTAATAAGTTACTGCTGCATTTCATCTCAGTTCATTTTAACTTTGCATGACACAAAAACAATGCTGCATTTTTGGCACATAATCGTAACAATTGCACTTACCAGATATAGTTACGTTAGAGCCTTGGTACATGTACATGACCAGAGTTCCTATAAAATACTGTCAGCATTACAAGAAATAGTCATGCAGCTCCCTTGGCATATGTGCATTACACGTGTTCCTATAAAATGCACTCAGAATTAATAGGAATGGGTCATGTAGCGCCTTTGACATTTGGGAGTTACAATCGTTTCTACACATGCCGGCCACCATGTGTACATGATGAACATTTCCAGAGTAAGCATGTACTGGATACAATCATGCTATTTTGTCTGTTTAGTCCCCGTGTGAATGAAGTTCAAAATAGGGACTTATAATTTGGTCTCCTTCCGTCCAGAGTCATATTTCAGAACCCTGTGGACCAAATCTGTTCATTCTTTGCATGTGTCCAGTACTTTATCTGGCACATATGCACATGCACTTGTTTACTGATTCAATCCAAGATGGCTGACTGGCAGCCATTTTGTTTTTTGATAATGTGATATCTTATGCATGCTCTGTCATTTTTTTTCAAATTTGGTACATACATTAATTATACATGTTAAGATACATGTCTGTGACGATTCGTTCCACAATCGGATCAAAGATCTTGGATAGAATTTGTCAGTTTTCAAATTTGATACAATTTTACAAACATTATACATGTTGAGATACATGTTCATGATGATTCGTTTTGTGTTTCGTATCTCTGTATATGATCATGGACAAATGAAATTCAGTTTGGACACAAAATCGTATGAATAGGTTATCCTGTTTAATTTCTAACCATACATTGTATATACATGTAACAATTTTGTCATTTAGTACATCTAATTTCTATTGATACAACCAATTATTCATATAAAATTATTAACTATGCTTTTGGTGCATATTTCTTTATTTTTTTCATTAATAACATTCCCCCTAATTCCAACTGGGACTATGTCATTAACAATGATTTGTGTTGAAGATAATTTGTATATTAATGTATTCGTCTTTCTGTGTTCGACTAAGCTGCCATCCATTCCAAAATGTACCTAATTAAACTGTCATGAAGCCTGTTCATTGAACATCGTTTTACTTTTTTGAATAATTACAGTGTCTATCATGAATGTTGACAGTTGTGAAAGGAGTTAAATACTTCTTCCACACTCAGTTTACCTTTTATGATCATAGCTGTTTTATCATTGTAAAAGTGTTGTGATAATCTCAATGACGATGCAACTCTTTTTCGCAATTTTATTTCACCGAAAAAGACAAATTAATCTCTCCATCTGGTGCATGGTGAAAGAACATTTTCTTTGGACATCTTTTTTGATTGGGGTGCTCGACTAAATGCTCACCCCGCTAAATAACATGATTTCTTTTAGCTGATTACCCTGTACGGACGGAGTTGGGCAAGTATGGTACATACACATGTACACGTATAATATGGTGAATTGTATTTGCTGCCATCACTAAGTTTACTAATTGTGTTCACCATTGCAGGTATGCGAGTTATGGGAATGGAAGATTTAGCAATTGCTACCCCAGCAAGTCCTGAACAGGAGGTTAGATTTGACCCAACACCTCGGATTATTCCTGCCTCGTACGATACCACAGCTAGTACTGACTCGCACGATGAAAGGAAGAAGCGTGTAAATGCTGATAAGAGTAAAAGCATTTTCAACACGTACCACGTACAGACAATTGAAGATTTACTTGGGGATCAGGATCAAAACCTTGATAGCACGAGTGAAATCCTGACTCAACGCACACTGTCTGAAATACGTACTAAGATGAGCACCCCGCTCAGTGCCCGTCTGTCACGAAGCTTCAGTGCACAGAGTGCTGACACTTACAGTCAAGATTTTGACAGCTATTCAGAAGCTGACTCGTACATGTCGAAGCCCCAAGGTTCGCACACTGAAACTATCCACACGGAACGCACAATGTCTCCAGATAGCAGACGTGCTGATTGGAGACGCAGGCGAACATTTTCCAAAAGTGCTTCCTATACTGACGACTTTGAATCAATGCAAACTGATTCGGATGTGGATGACTTGTCAGACAGCGTTAGTTACAGTGAAAGCTACACCTCATTTTCAGAGTCGAGAACACTGACTCGAACTGCGACACCTATTAAAAAAACAACAAAGAAAGGTAAAGTTGACAGCAGAGATGTGGGAATCCAAGCTGAAGACATTATGGGATATCATTGGAGAAAAGGTGCTTATTTTTTCTCCTCTAATAATTTTACATCTGGCTGCAAAAACGATAAAATTACTGTACTAACGTGTTTCAATGTCTTTTTTATTTGGGAAATGTGCGCCATATTATGACTACAAGTAGAAAAAGAAGTATATTAATCATGAGAATATAACAAAAGTATGCACTCAGGCAGTCCGGGATTGCATTGACCTTCATTATGTGTCAGTCATTACAATCACTGTTGTGCCTTTGTGCATAATTTGCAGTATTCTCATAATAACTTCATATTATTAGATATGACAGTGTCTACATACATTGTAACAGTATAGTTACACATCCCATCATTTCTAAATAGCCCATTGACTGGACGATTATTTAATCTCACACAATTTCATGTTCATTTCCATATGGATTAAAATATATCGATAAAAAAAAAACACAGCTCTTCAAACCAATCAACATTGTTAGTCTCGTATTGGTTTTCAGTTTTGAAAGGTTTGACTGTACTTGCATTGTAACACGTCATCTAGTCTGCCATACATACCAGTTTGCCATCAGTTTGTGCTTGATTGAATAATCATGATCAAGTAAAAAGGCTGTAATGTTCTATTTCAAATACCATACTCAAAAAGTGCATTTCACTGTTGATGTATGTTGTATTCAGTGGTGCTGAATTTTCTGTACTCTCACACTTACGCCTGTTATTTTATGTTTTACTGTATTATTTGTTTTGCTATTGTAGATGCTGGTTCAGCTGTACTTGGGCCTTCACTAGGCTTACAGTATGTAGATCCATCCCCTATAGCCAGTCATGTGATCAGCTCAGATGCTGTGGAAGGTCAGTATTATACTAATATTGACCCCGGGCACAGTCAATATCAGGGTATTAGCCAGCCACCAGTCCACCCACCAAACAGACTGGCAACTTTGATTTGGGACTGGCAACTTTTTCTCATTTTTTTGATGATTTTACCAAAGTATATCGAAAACCATCTACATTTTCATGAAGTTGAATTGTTTTGGACTGGCAGTTCAAATTCCTGGCTAATAGCTTGGTCAATACACAGTTTTTTAGTTCCAAAAAAAAGTTAACAATAAATACATATAGAGTTTTATCCATTCTAATTCTAATTGCTCGTTTAGATACCTTTTATAATTACTGTCACTTTTATGAATTTGGTAAGTATAAATAAACTACGAGCAACCAGCTGACATTTCAGAAGCTGTGATGTTTATGGGACTGGGACCACTCAGACTAAAATACAATAAAACAGCACATTTCAAGTGAAATGAACAGTTTTGTCTAACCAACGTCAATGTGCATTACACAAGGAATCATAAAATCATTCATTATGAAAACAGAAGTACATGTAGTAAGTTTTCTGTTATGTATACAACGTCTGAACAAATCATGAATTTTGAGTTTCATTCTGCATTGTGATGACTATGCACCAATGGAAGCATACAGTCATGTCGTTTTTTATTTTTCCTGGTTACGTATTTATGTTGAACACAACTCTGCCTTGGGGATATTTCCATGCGTAATAATGTGCCGTACACACTTGATGATGGTAAATTTCAATGAAATAAGGGTATTCAAATGCAATATTTATCTGTCAAAGATTGGCCTTTTGATTTGAGCTACGAAATAAAGAAATTTGAGTTCAAAAACATATCGTTTTGTTTTTTTTGCGGCAGATGTTCACTCGCAAGATCTCATAGTTGAACGGAAAATTACCTATTTGAGTAAAATTGCTTACATGTACATTTATGATGAAAAAAAATTATGACATAATGAACATATGCCCTGGCGGATGCCACATAATATCATGCTTAGTGACATGTGTATATTAATTTATGTTATCGGCAAATGTTTGCAAACCATTTCATTGTTTCCACAGCATTGACGTCTTACAGTCCCAGCGTACTCCTATTAAATGATATGTTGAGATCTCAGCTACAGATCACACAGACCTTTTTACGTAACAGCAGACAGATGTACAATTCATACGTAGGCTCCATTGGTAGTCAATTTAATTATACAACAATAGAAGATACTAACGAGGTAATGCCTTTTTGCTTTTTCTAGTTGATGTCGATTTCATGATTTATTTAATTTTGGGGCAGGTTCTTCTAAAATGTTTACCATTGGGTCTATTGCATTCACATACAATTTTTAAATAATATTGTGAGTTGTTCTCCATGTATCCAATACATGCATGATGAGTACATGAGTTGAAGCGTTATAATGTGATTGCTAGCACATGGATGGTGATTTTTTGATTAATGTTTGTAAAAAGTTATTCAGAGAATTACTATTTTTTAGTTGCTTATTAAATAAAAAAATTGCTTGCCCTTGCAAAATGTGAAATTGGATAAATACATTGTACGTGCAAACAGTTTACAAAAAAATAGTTGATTGCAAGCAAAATTGCAGGGAAAAAATATTTTATACATGTACATAGGATATACATTTTTAAAGTATTGTATTGTCTCAGACACTAATTAGTTTTGTGTATATGTTCAACTCTCAGTTCTTGAAGCAACATCGCAGACCGAGACTGACATTTGAAGAAGCATTGAGGCAAGTGAAAGAAGAAATGGGTATGGAGAATAAATGAGTCTCATCATTCAACTCTACATGTATCTGACATCCTTATCATGTGAATGGACTAGACCATCTGAGAAGCAATCTTAATACAATCATGAGAAGAAGAAAAATTGAGAATTTCACAAGTCAGGAAAAAATTCAGCAATAATTAGCTGAAAAAAACGCCAATATTACGTGATAGGGTTTTTCTTCAAATTTCAACTCTGGGGTGGGGGGATTATGAACTTAATCCAGACACCATGAAATATTGGATAATCCCCTGAAATTAGCATGTCCTTGGTGGACAGACATAAGATGTATTGCCCCAGTTGTTGCCACAGCACAACACATGCTTGACATGGAAAATGTAAAAAAAATTTGATTATATATTATGGAAGAGATAAACGTCACATACACATACACATGTACAAATGTATGTCTGTTAGTAATTGCTAGTTTATTCTACCTAACTACTACCCGGTAACTGAAACAATTGTTCTGTCATCTCAGGCCATGACAAACGTGTAGTATAGAGACTGAATTAATCTGAAACATGTTAGTTATGACAATATGTTACAACCTTACAACAGATGTGTTCTCTAATCTTTTGTATTTTTTAAATAAAATCAGATACAATATAATTCATGATTTTTTAAATCAATTTTTTTAAAGAAATCAATGATATAAAATATTTTGGTTTGCAATCAAACATTCTTTGTACAAAATGTACATTCATTTTCATTAAATTTTTATTATTCACCCAAATGGATGTTGATTCTGGAAATGATTTTGAAAACATTTTTACATATATAAACTAATCGAATACACCTTTGAAGTGTACTAGTAATTAATTTTCGTGAAAGTTACACATATTTTTATCCTTCATTAATTCAGTAAATTTATTGGGGTCTTGGAATTATTTTGTGAAATATTTGATTGTCTATACTACAGAGAATAAACAAGCATTTCCCTGGATTCCTTGGTTATGAATTACCTGGTCATGCAATAATGAGAATACTGCAAAGTATGCACTCGGGCAGTACTGGCTTGCATTGACCTCCATTACATGTCAGTCTATACAATCGCTGTGTAGTGCCTTTGTGTATACTTTGCAGTATTCTCATGATAAGATCATATTATTAAATATGACAGTGTCTACATAATGTAGAAGTGAATTCACACAAATTATAACGTTAGTCAAAATGAGTTTCCAACACAAAATTAAATTGGAAGTCAAAACAATTATCATTATTTAGACGAAATGCAAAGCATTGTAATGTTTATTTCCCACAATTTGCATTTATTTAGATTAGTATGTCGCATAATACGGTAAAATACTTTATTTTCGCTTGCGATTAATTTTCGTTATTTTCGCTGAAGGAATGATTCAGTGAAAATAAAATCCAGAGAATATACCTTTTTTTCTAAATTTTACATTCAAACTTGTCAAAAATCAGTGTAAATAAATTCCATACAAAACACCCAAAAAGTCTTTTCAGCAAAAATTTATTCCAGCTAAAATAAAGTATTTTACAGTAGTTCCAAAACGCAAATAAAAACTGTAAGTTCTCTTGCAAAATGTAATAAACAGTACATAGCTTTTTTATCTGTAAATTGTGCATTAATTTATTTTTTCAGAAAAATTGAGTATTTTTAAAATGTATTTAATTATATTTTACTGAGATTCCTCAGTATAATGGCTGAATAAATTACATTTAATTTAGTAAATGACATTGTAATCTGTTTAACTTGAGTGTGAGAAATATTCAAGTCAATGCCAATTATTAGTATATTTAATATTCCAAGCTCAGTGTGCATATGTTTGAACATGCGTTCTGATGAACAAAAATAGAATTGACAACCGTATACTTGTGTTGCTTTCTTGTTTATGTACATCCAAGGCTATATTTCTTATGTTGGTTTTTGAATGATCACACACACTATATGTTATAAATATTGCCCTGACTGGAACAGTTGTCCATCTCTAATGTGCCGTTTCCTTTTATATTAACATCTTTTCAAAATAATTAGTCTTCATTCTACGAATCAGTTTATTAGTGCCCGTTCAGAGACAGTTTGTTCCTCCGTCAATCCTTCCATTCCCACCTGTATCTCAGACATGCCTTGACCAATCAAGCTCAAACTTGATAGAAACATCATGTCACACATAGGCACATTAATATGTTTGATGGTTCGATTCAAGATGGCTGAATGGTGGTCTTTTTTAATGTAAAAATTTCTTCCTTTCTGAAATCATATCTTGTTCATATATGAATGGATTTCAATGGACTTTGTCCATACACTGACCATTATTTGACTTTGTGATGTATGTCACATTCAAAAAGACTGACTGGTGGCCATTTTGTTTTAATGAATGTCATTTCACAGCCTTATCATGACATGCTTTGACCAATCAAGTTCAAACTTGATAAAGACATGTCACACAGGCATCTTAATGTGTCTGATGATTTGGTTGTCATTTTGATATTAAAAATCAAGAATTTCTCTTATTCTGGACAACGATCTGGTTTGTGTATGGATTGATTTTGTTCAAACGTTGAACATATTTTGGACGGTATAGTTTCTTAAAGCATGTTGTTTTGTTTTCAGATCTAATCCAAAAAAGCCAACTAGTGGCCATTTTCTTTTGATAAATGCGAACTCAGAGATTCTGACACATTCACTACGTTCAATTACCCACCATAGACTCCGGTCAGTCAAAATGACTATTTTGAACTGTAGGCATTAATCAGCGATTCTGCCGGTTACGGAGAGATAGAATCTTGGTCAGCGGAAGCCCCATGACCCCAAGATTCTTTTACCCCTGACGTCACAAACCCACGTGACCGAGGCCACATGGCAGCGCCAGAGGCAGCCGTCAATCACTCTTCATTTTTCTCCGCCTCGTCTGGGAATAATTCTGAGTGGCTCTGCCTGGCTCTGTTGCTTTTTCTTGTCCAGGTTTCTAGCGTGGGTTGTCGCCGCAGCCGTGGCATCCGACATTTTAGCTGGTAGGATAAGTTTTTCTTGTCTTTTTACCCTTGTGTGTTATGCTTTTCCACAACAAAGAAATTAAAACCTGGCGCCACTACGTAACCACATGTTGGTTTCATGGCGGCACCTTTTACAACTGTAATTCGTTTCCCTCATGCATGTCGTCTTTTATTTATAATGTATTTAGAAATGGATAGATGCACTGGCAACGCCAGAGGCTCGCCGCCGGTATTATCTCCTCAGATCTGCAATCCGTGTACACAGAATTTGCAGGAATGGAACCCGCATACGAAATGCTAATGTTGTATCACGTGTGTTCGGTATTCGGGTGTCTGCCCAGAGAATATTTGTAATCACTGGGGTTCTGAAGCCTGGGATTCTTTCCAGCAGTATGTAAAAATAGCCGAGACTGACCGCGTTGCTCGCTCACGAAAAGGTCGCGCGGCTAGTGCTACCAGCATGGGTATGAGTGAGTTGTGCGTTAGCATGAGTGATGAGTCCTCACACTCGGCTACCGGTTCTCATACCGGGATAACAAGCAAAGGGCCCGATAGTGGGGGTGCCGATGTATTTCGGTCTCCTCCCGCTGATCAAAGGGCATCTGCACAGTCTGTTTTTTCAGGCAGTGGGTTACCTAACTTTACCGGCAACAGCGAGGCTGTGCCCCTGGAGGTCTTTCCTCCTATGGAGCCCGCGCTGGGTCCCGTTGTGGATTCATCCTCGCACGGCACCAGTTTTGCCGCTGAAATGAGGGCATTGGTTGAAGGACTGTCAGGGCAAATTGCGTTCCTGGCAGGCAGAGTAGATCACCTGCAGGCAGAGCGAGC